GGGAGGAAGGGAGGAAGGGAGGAAGGGAGGAAAAGAGGAAAGAAAAGAGAAAGAAAAAAAGAAAGGAAAAACGAACCTGCTGAGAGAGAGATTGGAAACATCACTTTGAAATACATTATGATGCTTGTTCTTTTATAGATGTTCTTGATTTTGAAAGAGAATATTATGTGCATTTGAGAATTAAGTAAAGACTTACATTAATGTGCCAAAGGGAGAAAACTTCTGAGGTGCAAGAGTCAAGAGCAGCAAGCAGTAGGACACGCATGCACCTACAAGTAGGACTTTCACTTGCAGCGACTGGCATACCAGGACAGGAATTTCTAACAACTGTCATCTGTGTTTCTACAAAAGAGCATGGAACCTGTTTGGATCCTAAAGTAGCAGCGGCAATGCTTTGCTAAAGCTGGTAAAATGGAACCAAATCGCCTCTTCAATGGATTTGGTCCCCTTCAACCAGCTGTAGCTATGCATTGATTACCACAGGACAGTAGCATTTCATCTGTGAGTACGGATTACATGACAACTAATTCGCTTACTGAATCTATTAACTGTAATTAAAATTAAATAACTAGCAACTGTTAATTTTATTTGGGAGAACTATAGTGATTATAGATGTTTATTAAAAGCTTTATGGAAAAATGTGTGATAAAAAGGATTTCAAATAAAGTTATTTAATTTGTGGTCTTTGGTATTAACTTTTCATTTTAATTAATAAATTGTTAAAAACCTATAAAAGCATTGCACATTTAAAAAAATCACATTATTAAATTTTTCCTTCTTCTGAAAACAAGAAAATGCCTACTCTACTTCCTGATGAACTTCCTTAAAAAAGAAAAAAAATCTGAGAAAGTCATCAAAACTCACCTAAAAACATAATGAAAATATAATAGTGTGTTTCACATGGGTATGCATATTTTAATTATTTATATAGTTCTTAAAAAATATGTGTATTTGTATGTGTCTGTGCAGGGCATGTGCACAAGCGTGAGATGCCCACAGAGGGCAGTGGCATCAGATCCCCTAGAGTTACAGACAAGGTGTACTGAACTCAGGCCCTTTGAAAGCAGTATATGTTCGGAACTGCTGAGCTCTCTCCAGTGCATGCTATGCATGCATTAAATTATAGAACACTGTCATAAAATTGAGCACTCCAGAAACTGAGTCATTATTTTCAATAGAACTAGCCTTCAATTTTGTTACTATTTACCGTTAGCCTAATGATGCAGAATGACATCTCAAGTCGTCAACAGACTTTAATAATAAACATCTAATTCTTCTGACCCTGAACCTGAAGCAAAGGTTTCTGAGATTTAAAACAAAGAAAATGCTAAACATTTCTGCTTATTATTTATGAAGACTGTGCCTCACCTGGCAACTGACCGACCTCACTAATAAACATGCCCCTGCTCTCCTGCCTGTCTTTCACAAAAACTTTTCTCACAAGTCTCTCAATGGAGAGAAAACTGCAGGAGACAAAAACAGAGACCAATATCCACCCAATTTTCTCAGTGACTACAAGAGACCTGCAGATGATTTAGTGTTCCTTAATAAACAAAACATCTCAGCAATTGAAGAAGGTCCTGCAGTGCAGGCAAGTACCTAAGTAACATGTCAATGCATGTTCCTCCAAATAAATCTGATTTTTACTTTTATCAGCACAGATAGTTTTGTTTATCTGGATTTACAACTGAAATTTCCTTTATTCAATGAAGATAAAATAAGAGGACAAACTCTAAGAGGAAAACTCTCTCCAAGCATCCACTGCATGGCTGGAAATGTAGCTACAGGGTATCCTGCACATACACAGCCCTGAGTTCAATCTACAGGACTACCAACACTAAACAGAAACAACAACACCAAACATCAGAAAACATGACCAGTATTTTTCTGAGTTAAAATTCTCAAACCTACAGATCAGCTTTGAAATTTACACTCTGTCTTGATCTGTACCTTCGAGTACAGATCTCAAAGCAGATCTTTCGTAAACATGAGGCACTGAGACATATTTTGAAGAACAAGATAATAAAAGGTTTCCTTCAGAAAATCATATCCAATAATTATCAGTTCTATCATGTTGCTGATGCACTGCTGAAAAATTACTGTTATTAACTAAAAGCAAACCTGGGGAGTAGGATGTACTCAATTTCTACAGACACATATATAAGTGTATATGCAAATTTCGAAAACTTCCCACATTTTCAGTCATTAAAAAGTGGAAATAATTACAAGCAAATACTTGTCCCAATACTAGCTTATATAATGCTGTTTAAAAAAAAAAAAAGAAAAAAGAAAAAACTAATGAGGGGAAAAGTACAAAAATTCTAAAAAGTAAATTCCTCAAAAAATACCCAAGAATTTTACTAACTAAAGAACTAATCCCTAGTTACAATTAAACTGAAACAGAAGTCTAGCATGCAATCAATCATACTACATAATTGCAGCCAGTGCAAAATAAAAACAGGCTAAAACATTACAATGTGGACGGCAGCCACATTAACAAGAAAGACTAGAAAGCAGTCAAAGAAAGGAAAAGTGTTCGCATGTCTGTTAATATTTGAGATTTTATCTAAAAGAGGGAAAATTTTAGCATTTGGAAATTATGTGCCATATCTATTTTTCTAAGGTAAGAATAAAGGCCCAAAGTCTAGAAAGAAATGTTAACTTTAATAAAGTATCTGATATGAAAAAATCTTAAATCATCCAACATGCTATTACAACTGATACTTTTAAATGGTTATTTAAATGGTTATTTAAAAGTATCAGTTGTAATAGCATGTTGGATGATTTACTGCCTTCAAATAAAAGCTGTATATGGCAACCAAAAGTGATGACAGCCCAAAAATAAAGAAAAAGGAATAAAGAATTCATCTAGCTTTTTGACCAAAGCCATCTTGTGATATAATTAGAGCGTTTCGTTCCTTTTTAAAATATCGATCAGATGTATGCAGGTATGTGCGCACAATAAACATGCAGGTCTGGGGACAACTTGCAGAAGTCAGTTCTCTCCTTCCATAACTGCTTCCTAGGGACTGAACTCATGTCATCAGGCCACAAGCACCTTCACCCACTGAGCACCTCTCCAGGCCTTTCCTTCTCTTCGGGATGCCACCTAATACAGATTAGCTGGCTGAAGGGGTCACTGTTACATATTTTCTGAAGAATCCTCAAGAATTACACAAGAATTCAAGAAATATAAGAAAACTATTCCTCTGCCTAAATAGGGTTAGATTATTTACTATACTAACCTCACATCTAATGAAAACGAAGCAATTCAAAGTACTTAAGATATCTATTTTCTAAAACATCTAAACTTCTAGTCTATTAAACTTTATAATCTAACATTATAGCCTACATTCTCTCAAAAATATTTTTGGCTATTTAATTTGAAGTGCTTGCTCCATCTGAATACCTACAGTTATCTTATAAAAGTCATTCTGTAACTAATCATATATTATCTTTTAAAATCTTGTAGTTTCTTTTCTGTTAAAACTAATTTGAGTGTGTGCTATCATACATGTGGAGGACCATATGCATTACTATGAATACCCATAGTCTCAAGGGAAATACACAGTTAGCAGGCCACGTATGTGAGTAACACAAGCAAACGGAAGAGAACTCTGGTGGAGAGGAGGCAGGTGCAGGGGAAAGAAGGGAAGGTGATTTAGATAACATCCTCATGAAAGAAAAATGTTTGCGAGTCTGGGGGAAGAGAGTAGACAACTGCTTTAGGAAGGTAAATGGTGTAATAATGTACTGAAGGGCAAGGCAGGCTGAAAGATTTCAATTAATAGAAGATAAATTCAGAGAGAAGGATTCTGGAGACTCAGCCTGGCACAGTCATATACACTTGCCTGTAACCTAGCACTCAGGAGACTTGAGATGGAAAAATGGCAATTCAAGGCCCACTTAAGCTATAAAATGAAGCTATCTTGAAAAAGAAAAAGAAACAGTTTGAATGCCAAGACAAGACCTATAATTCTCACATACTTCTATAAATGAGGCTATTAACACCCAACTCAAACACTGTTCAAAGGCTATAGCTTGATGGCACAGTGTTCACCTCAAAGCTGCAAGGTCCCGAGTTCAAGCACCAGCAGTGCAAGCAAAGAAAATCAATTAGTTTTAAATTTTGAGCTTTGAAAAGAATGAAGTGAGAGAGCACCTGATGTACTCAAGCCTACCATGAGATATCACCACTGCCATCATCTACTGGGAGACGGAGACACAGCAATTACTCTGTCTCCACAATGCAAACGTATGAAGAGTCTAAAGATCTGTAATCTGAAAAAGTCCAATATGTGATGGACAATACAGTCCTTTAACTCCCCACCCCAACCGCAGTCATAATATAAACCCTTTTGACTTCTGTGACCGCCCTGAAGGGCACCCTAAGAAACTTTAGCAAACACATTAAGGAATTCTAAAGAATAAGAATTTACAGGTAGATAAAATTACTGAACAAAGTGAATATTTTTTCTAAGTCAAAATACACAGGGTTTTACTCAACTATAAAGAAACTGAGGTTAAGTTAAAACTGTTCCAAAGAGTGGGCCGATGAAAACCTCATCCTCCAGCAAAGCTAAGTGCTGGTGCCTGAGGGTTCTGCTAACCCTTTATGAATATTAGGAGTCTCTGAAGGCAGCTGCTCTCATATATTAACCAGCAAATCCTTTTCATCTACTACAAAAACATGATTAGGGTTCCCAGATGTTACACATCTAAATAACTCAGCATTAACATCTTAAAATGCATTTAATTAAACTTTTTAAACATTAGCCAGCATCCGGATATTTTGTATCTATACTCAATAGACATCTAACCATTTCATAATATTTATATTTAACATGTACCTGATGAATAAGGGTATATTTTCTACAAAACTTTATCATTTGAGATGCTGAAATTAGCTGAAACTGTCCTCTTACATCAGGAAAACACAACTGGAACAACAGGAAAGCATTTGTAAACAGCACCTAAAGCAGTAAAGAGGACATTTTTACCTGGGATTTCCTCTCAGTGCAGCATGGTGCAGGGCATTGAACCCATTGTTGTTTGTGATGGTCACATCTGCTCCAGCTTCCAAAAGAACTGCCAGGATGTCATCCCGCTTCTTACTTATGGCATCATGGAGAGGGGTGTCACCTTCAGAATCCTTATTTTATTTTTTTAAGTTTAAAGAGATTTCCATTAGTTCCCTTTCCATTGATCACCACATCAACAGGAAGACTCTCACTGAACTTCTAGACAAAGAAGCAGGCTCTCTAACAAGCAAACAATTGTCAGTCAGCAACCATGCTTAGAGCTCCTGTTGGTCTGCTGTTAAGATGGAGATGGTGGTGATAGTGGTGGTTGTTTTTGAGACAAAGACTCCACACTATAGCCCGAGCTGACCTTAAACTTGCTCTATATTGTTGAGACTGGCTTTGAACTTCTATCTCTACTTTCTGAGTGCTGGGATTACAGGCATGTGCTAACATCCACAACTTCAGGCTCTATTAAATATATAATGCAGGCAAAATTGGCAGGTCTGAAGATATGCACAAAGCCCTAGGCACTTTCTCCAGCATTACACGAAGTGGCCATGACAATAAACACCTGTAATCCTGGCACATGGGAGGTAAAGGCACAAAGAGCATTATTTTGTGTACAATGTGAGTTCAAAACCAGCCTGGGCTACAAAGAGACAAACAACAAACATACAGCAGCAGTCGTAGAACCCAGAACAATGAGTTTAAAGTCAGTGGTTTTCAGCCTTGACAACACAAGTATCAATAATTTTTCAGTTTTCTATATATTAATATAATATGCAGCATATTATATTAATATGAATCAACAAACTGAAGTCTTTTCAAAGTACAGCAAAGTGACTATGGAGTTCAAAACAGAAACAAATCTAATCAATACCTATAATTTCTAAATCTGCTTTTTAGAAAATTGTATCTTTGTGTATGGGGTGCATGGGGCAAGCGGAAATGCAGGTGTGTGCACCCATGCATACACCCACGAAGTCCAGAGAAGGACATCAGGCATTCCCCTCCACTCTCCTACTCAATTCTTTTAAGGCAGGGTCTCTGAATAACTTGCAAGTTTACTGTTTCAGCTAGACTGGTCAGCCAGTGAGTTGTGGGACGCATTTGTCTCTGTCACCCCAATGCTGGGGTTTCAGGCATGTATAGCCATGACCAGCTTTTTGTGGGGGTGCTAACTATCTGAACTCATGTCCTCTTGCTCATGTAAGTGCTCCCTCTCACTGAGCCATCTCTCCAGTCCCTCAATTCGACTGTTTCGGAGGTATTTAGCATTAATCAATTTACTTAGCAATAAATTCTAATTCCATATCATCTGTTTTTATAAATTCAATCTTACTGGAACATAGCTACACCCATGTGCTTATGTATTAGCTATGATTACTTCATTCTATAATGGCAGAGATGTATGGCCTTGAAACAAAACACGTAAAAACCTGCAGTACCATTTGGACTTTCACAGAAAATGTTTTCCAATCACAGGCACCCACCCACATAAGGTATTCCTAATCCAAATTCAATCCAACCACCTACCTTCTATTTGGTGGCACTAAAAATGTGTATCCTCTCACTTGAGGAGAACTCTTAACGTGCTCGGAACACCCTTCCACAGGTCCCTGGTCTGTCCTGCTTTCTGGTCCCCACAACAGCTATTCCAAAGCACAAGTCTCAATTATGCTCTGTCTTCCCCAATCCCAATTCACATTCCCTACAGGTGACTTTGCCTCTCACTTCAGAAAGGCAAGTGGGTCTAATTCCTTCTCCTTCAACAGATCACCTCAGTTCTCCCTCCATCCTCCATTTCTGCCACATACTTATAAAACCACATCCTAGCAATAGTCTCTTTAGAAATATTACTTCCTAAAAACAAATTGCTGAGCAGCACCTGCGACTCTCTTCAAAAGCTGCTGCTCTGAATATTCCATTCTTCAGCCACATCCTAAGATCTAGGAAGTCTCTATGCTGAGAATCATCCACACCATAATTCCTCCTGTTGTGTTCTAATTATTATTGAGTTTTCAATTTAAAGAAAGTAGTTTGACATATGAACTTGCCCATACCAAGTTCAACAGAGCTGGCATATATACACTGCCCATGCATGTTTCAGCACTGCCAGGGCATAAATTTCATTTTCATTTTTCAATTTCAGTTCAACATATTCAAACAATGCTTCAAGGAACACTTTTATTTAAAAATAGTAAGCATTTCAAGTCTATTTTGTTAAAGATGATAGAGGTAAAGAAAAGCTAGAAAGGAACCTAAACACTAATATATTATGATTACATACTATTTATTTTGCTATGAAGTTACATATTTATTCCAAATTTTAATTTTGTGTCTACAAAAGACAGTGTTTAATAACCATGATGAGCACATCTTGCACAAACTGTATTTCTCTGACATGTGTGGCTTACATTCATCTAGTTGCTAAATGAGCTTGGAAAAAAAAATCATTCCTTAGGTAAAATTTTTGCTTCAAAAATTAGGCCACTTTCCTTCCTACTATAAATCAAAACAATATTATTTTCCAAAACAGGCCTAAACGAAGAATCTAGAATAAATTAAGCTACAATGAAAATATTTTTAAATGGTTATGAAGTAAGTTATTTTATATCACCCTCTATCCTGGATATTCTTCACAGTAACAAATTTACACAGAACTTTCTTTCCTTTAACAGAGTTCCATCAATGCCTGCTCTGTATATTCCTTTCAAATCTTACCTGGAGACTGGGATGACACCCAAAGTCCAGCAGCGTCTTCACAACCTGAAGATGGCCTTTATTGACAGCGATATGCAGAGGAGTCTGCCTGCGCTTATTACGAGCATTCAGGTCAGCGCTGCCTCGGTGCAGGACTTCGATAACAGCACCCTCATCTCCAAAGGCTGCATGGTGAACAGCTCGATCTCCATCTTTATCCTGAACATCAGCATGAGAGTTCAATCAGTAGAGTTAAGAAAGAAAAGCTGAAGCTTTAAAATGCCACGAACCAGAATAACTTCAGAAAAATTGTGGAAAAATATAAATAAAACCAGTGAGACCAATAAAATAGCTCTAAACTGACATGAACATTCACAAATGATAAAACCAGATCAGTAACATTACAACATATTTGAACTGGGCCAATACTAGAAGTACTTTATTAAAACTCTAATGTTAGGGAATCAAATTTAGGGTCTCCTATGTAGGTAAAAAACATGCTCTACAGCCTGTGTACACCCAGCTCATAACAACCAACCTTTCAGACAAGAGCTCACCAAGTAGCCTCAGCTAGACTTGAGCTTCATGCCTCAGTCTCCCAGGTCCTGGTACTTTCAGTGTGTACAACTAAACCAGACTGAAAACTTTGAAGTTACATGAAAACTACACTAGTATCAGCTAAGTGCTAACAAAAAGTATGCACAGCAATGTGGTCTTAATTATCTAAGCAGAGATTCGACATTACATTAGAGGAACAATATGGCCTTAATTACCTACATAGAAATTTGACATATTAGTCAGAGTTACATCTAAGTGCTGAATATACCCACTTCTGTATATTTGAGAATAGAAATATATTTCTAAATAATGCATAAAAATATAAAAACTGAAGACTGTACCAGTAAATTCCACAGTTCCAAATTCTTAAAACTCTTTGATAAGAATTAAACTGTGCTTGCCACACTGTATAACAGTCATATTTCTAAAGAGATGAGATGAACTTTTTTATATAAAGAAACTACTTTATAAATGGAAAAATGGTTGTACTGTGCCATAAAGGCAATATATATTATGTATCACATATATTTATATATAACTAGTTTCATTACCTTTGCAGAAGTAGAAATGCATAGAGAAGGGTACTATAAATGTTACTGTATTCATGAGAATACTACACTCCAAAATGTCAAAATTGATGGAGGAGAGTCATCTGTCTATTGATTAATAAAGAAACTGCCTTGGCCCTTTAATAGGACAGAAAATTAGGTAGGCGGAGTAGACAGAACAGAATGCTGGGAAGAAGGGAAGTGAGGCAGTCGCCATGCCTCTCCTCTCCAAGATGGATGCAGGTTAAGATCCTTCCTGGTAAGCTACCACCTCGTGGTGCTACACAGATTATTAGAAATGGGTTAATCAAGATGTGAGAGTTAGCCAATAAGAGGCAGTGTTTTAAAAGAATACAGTTTCTGTGTAATTATTTTCGGTGTAAAGCTAGCTGGGAGCCGGCCCGCTGCTCCTACTTCTACACACTATGTAAGCCTTCAAGCATTACTCCAAAACAATGACTCTCAATCTGCGTGTTAGTACCTAGCAGTGGGCACCCAGTATCACTTAAACTACTTTTCAATGATCACACAAGTAAACGGCTGTAATTAAATACCTCTAAAACAACTGAATAAGTACAAAGCAGGCATTGAATTCAAGATAGATTTTTGTTGTTGGGTTTTTGTTTTGTTTCGAAGTATTTGCCTGCTATCTTTCAAACCGCTATCAAGGGTGATTTTTATATAGAAATCTGCTTCAATAGCATTTCTGGATAAGGTAGAAAATTTCTACCTTGTGAAGATTTCCAGCTGAATCAGATTAGGAGCTTTTGTCACCAGAATGAAGGAATAACAAGCACTGAAATCAAATATCCCAGAAAAACAAGCATATGTACATGTACACACATCCTGACACAGACAGACAGACAGAAATGGATAAGTAACTAATTTTCCTAATCTCCAATTTAAATGGTTTTTAATTTTTATTATAATTTTTAAAATTCTGTGTGTATAGTAGAGAGACAGAAAGACAAAGAGACACAAAGAGGCAGAAAGAGAGTATGAGTGTTAGTTTGTGGATATGTGCTCATAAATACAGGTACCCTTAAATGCAGAAGCATTTTCAAACCCTGGATCTAGAGTTACAGACATTTGAGGCACTCAACGTGGGTGCTGGAAACTGAACTCAGGTTCTGTACAAGAGGAGTATATGCTCTTAGCCAGACCCATCCCTCCGACCCCACTATTATAATTTTTACCTTTACATTTAAAAAGCGAACAATCCACTAATACCAACTAAATAAAATGGGGATTATTTATGAAGATGAATTTATTATACTTATGGTTGTTAGAAAACTATTAAGTGAAGTCAGACACAGTGTTACACACCTATAATCCTAGCACTAAGGAGGCTAAGGTAGGAGGACTACAATTTCAAGGCCAGTATGGACTATATAGTGAGCTCCAGGATAGCCTTGGGTTAAACAGTGAGTGAGACTCTGTCTTAAGATAGACAAGAAAGCAGGCTGGCAGGCAGGCAGGGAGGGAGGAGAGAGAATAAGGAAGAGACAGAAAGAAAAGAGGAAACACACACACAAAACAACAACAACAACAAAACACCACAAATCAGAACATGTTATGCAGTTTATGTAAAAACAAACACTAGAAGTTTTAAATGCTTGTATATTAACGACACTATAAAGAAAAAACATTTTAAAAAATTAAAGATTATAGAACACACATACATACAATAGGACACTACAATCACACTTGTTTCTATGTTTCTCTTCTAAATTGTCTTCTTCTGAATTATTCTGAACACACTTGCAGCATGGCCGGTCCCTATGCTATCCACATAAGGTTCTATGGAGACTCTGTGAAGGGTCCTTAAACTAACCCTAACACCACACCCTTTCTCTCCTGTCCTCTCTCCTTTCAATGTTAAACTCTTGTTCCTATTGCAGCTGCCCTATCTTGCCTAAGAAAACTACAGCCCACATAGTCAGCAAAAACTGCCCCACAGAGCTGCATGCATCTGCTTCCTCTCTGAGTACCTTTATGTGTCCATCAGAATCCACAGCCATTATTCTTGAAATGATTTACCCATCTATTTTCTCTCCTCCTCCTCACCACAGCTCACCTTGTCTCCATTCATTCTTATACCAGACACAGAAGTTTCTGCACAGCAATGTTGCTGTCTCTCTGTGACACGGACTGATTCCCATTGCCCTTCTGCTTGATTTGTCTTTATCAAAGTGGCTGAAGAAGACACTGTTTTAATCTACTCAGTATTTGTGACTGCTACAATTTGAAAATGATTTGTTAGTATAAAAGTGCTGGAAGCCTGGTCCCCACGTTGGGAGTAGTAAGAGTATTAAGAGGTGGTGAATCTTTAAGACAGGGACCTAACGGGCCTTGAAAAGATGAGTATAGGTCTCACAGCAGCAGGTTAGCTTCAGAGTCTCGCTCCTATAGGCCATCTTGAGTCTCTCTAAATACAATACTTCTCCATCATTGAACAAATGTCCTTGTAGTATGACTGAGCATCTTTTGGGTATACGCCCTGGTGTTGCTGGGTCCCGAGATAGCCAGAACCTGTAAACAACCTAGATGTCCCTCAAGGGAGGAATGGATAGAGGTGTGACACATTTACACATTGGAGTACTACTCAGCAGTAAAAAAAACAATGACATCTTGAAATTTGTATGCAAATGGATAGAACTAGAGACAATCATCCTGAGTAAGGTAACAGAGACCCAGAAAGATAAACGTAGTATGTACTCGCTCGTAAGTGGATATTAGCTGTAAAGCAAAGAATATTGAGCCTAGAGAATTTGGGTAACAAGATGAACATACATAGATCCACCTGGAAAGGGGAAATAGACGGGATCGCCTGACAAGATTGGGATGGCGGTGGGGAAAGTAGGAAAGGCAGAAGGGAGGGGAGGAGAACTTGAGGGACTGGAAGGAGGAAGGACAGAGATGTTTTGATTGAGGAAGCCATGATGGGGTTAGCAAGAGAACTGGCAGTAGAGAAATTCCAAGGAATCCACAAAGATGACCCCAGCTAAGACCCTAAGCAATAGAGGACAGGGTATCCAAATATCTTAAATATCACCACAGAACCTTCATCCAGCAACTGAGGGAAACAGAAGCAGAGACCTGCATCGGAGCACTGGACTGATGAAGAGTGGGAGGAGTAGAATATGAGCAAAGAGTCAAGACCATGATGGGGACATCCACAACAACAGTCTACCTGAGCTAATGGTAGACTTTAGCCAGTCAGGGAAGGAAACAGCACAGGTCCAAACTAGTCCCTCTGAGTATGAGTTGTATGGCTGGGACAGACTCTGGGTCCACTGGCAGTGGCAGCAGGACTTATCCCTACTGCTTGTACTGGCTTTTTGGAACCTATTCTCTTTGGATGGATACCTTGCTCAGCCTAGATATAGTAGGGAGGGCCTTGGACTTCCCCAAAACAATGTGCCTTACCCTCCCTGAGGAGTGGATGGGAGTGGGGTGGATGGGTAGGTAGAAGGAAGGGAGGGAGTGGGAACTGGAATTCATATGTAAAATGAAAAAAGAGAGTTTTCTTTTTAAAAAATTATTTAAAACAAAACTAAACAAAACTGCTCCATCACTCTCCCTTCTGTCTACTGATGGGGAACCTCCTTCAGCCAATGGCCTTTGAGAGGCTGGACCAGGTTGCGTGTGGCCTCGGGTACCAAAACGGCTCAGGTCCATCTGTTCTCTTTCTCTCTCTGCTCACCACACCTGGATGTTGAATTTCATTCCTGTTCCCCATTACGATCTGTGATTTCTCCTTTAATAAAAAAACCCCTTACTATACCCTATTCAGAGCTAGTGTGGGATTCCTTTACTCATGTTTCCCTTCAGTCTACAGTTGATATCCCAAGTCTTTCAGTTTTTAATGGTGATGGGGTTTTTAATAACAAATTCAATTACTCTGGGAACAAATATCTGAAACCATATTAATGGTGGTAATTTGAGTCCTGCTTGGTATTTAACAGAAAGATCCTTTTACGGTGATCACTCTTGAAACCACTTACCTATTCCTTTTCCACTTTTACTGTTTTATTTTGCTGTTTTCATTAATGAAATAAGCAGAATTGGACAGAAGAAACAACTAGCTTTTATTGTTTGTCTCATTTTGTCTTTTGGTGTTTTTGT